TCTCTCTCGCTCGTGCGACTGCGACACGTGCTGCCCGGATGCAGCGAGCCATCCCAAGGAGAGCGGGTAGCCGGTGTTGAACACCTGACCCCACCGTGCTGCGCGGAGGGGGGGGGGGGCGGACACCTGTGTCGTGCCGTTGGCGGCGTGGTGGTGGTGGACGACGACCCCTCGGCACTAGTGCGTATCGGCGGTGCCATGCTGGCGTTGCTGGGCCCGCGGCGGCCAGAGGAAGTGCCAGTTCCATACTCGTAGACAGACACACACAGTCTTTGTTTACTTTGTCTTTATGCCCGTGTCGTGCGTGATGCGCTGCGCAGCCATATCGTGATGATGTTTTATGCATTTCCCCGCGAAGGACGCGTGCGCTCGCGCGCGTGCGTGCTGCCATGGACTCGGTACACACTGATCGGATTGGTATATCTTTTATTTGTGCAAATTAAAGCAATCTCATTTTTTTTGCTTATATTTTTGCGTTGATATGAAGCCGTTTGTGCATTCATTTCTACGAGATCGTGCATTTTTCAGCACACTGTTGTCTACGGGCAAAAATACAAATAAATATAGCGTATTGACCTGAGTCATTAACACGGAAAACAATGATTAGCTGATGGATAAACCGATAGTCAGATACAGGATAATGAACTAATTTTTAATTAGATGTGTAGCTTAAAACTACGTTTTGCTAATAATTCGCTAGATAGCTAACTTTTTTGTGACATAGCTAAATGTTTAGCCACATAGCTAAATTTTTTTCGTTACCTCGTATTTCGCTGTATAGCTAACCTTTTATTGCGTGAGTGTGCGCTGGACCGTTTGGTGCGCCTCGAATGTCCTCTTCGCGTGCCGGGAGCAGCAGCTGATTCACTCTCCTGGCGCGCCCGGCCGCGGCTCGTCCCGCCCGCCCGCCTGGGCGCGGCCACGCCTTGTGTGTGTGTGTGGGGGGGGGGGTGAAACTGAATCGCAATTGTCCCTCCCTCCTGTGGCGCGTGTCGCGCTGGTTTTGCGTCTCAGCTTCACAGCAG